GATGCCTCTTTCTGGTGGGGGTGGCATGGTTGTACTAGACTAGAACCAGAACCTCCAGCAAGTGAGTCAACTCTACGGCCAACCTGTGTAACCCCGTTTCTGCTGCCTGGCTTCTGCCCTCGACGTCAGTATTCATCTTAGGGTAGCCTGGGAGTTTGAGGGTTTTTTTGTGTGTGTGTTTTTGGTTTCTTTTGTTTTGTTTTGTTTTCATACTCCCCAGGTGATTTTGATATGCCACCAAGACTGATACCAACTGTATGGCTTCAAAGCTGCCAAGAAGGATTGAATCTTAAAAGAACTGGGAACTTCCCATTCTTCCATAAATGCCTGCAGCTTGGTATTAGATCTTCATGAGAAAACCAAAACCATTTTGGAAATAACATAAGTTTCCAGAATTCTTTCTTTTTATTTCTTTCCGTATGCATTTTTTATTTTTTCTTGTTTTACATATCGATCCCAGTTCTCTCCCTCACCTGCGTTTGAGCCCCAAAACCTTTATAGCAGAAGGAAAGAACAGCGGTTGTCCTCTGGCCATCACATAAATGCATGTGCCACCACACGCATACACAATAAATAAATATAACCTATAGAGCAGAAATGAGTGTTTAATTTGTGCCTGAATGATTGAGTTATAAAATCCCAATAAGACACACCTGAATATAATAGTGTCTCACTCTCATTTTCAGCCTAGACTTCCTCCCAGTGTTGAGGTGGTTGGACCGTATGTCTTCTCACCATGCAGGCTGGGGTTGAGGAAGTAGAGCAGGAACCTGGGACACAACTGTCATGTAATCATTTGGGAGGGTCCCAGCTCCATCTGCAGTCAGCCATGAGCACTGGTCGCATTATCTTCACTTCGTGATTGTTGTGACAATCCACAAGTACTGTTCTGGGAGGGCAAAGTCCATTCTTTTCAAGGATGCAGCTCCTGAGAGTCTACCCATGCTCCAGGAGATGACCCTATTATACATCCTGGCATCGATGAGTACTTGCAATGGGGAAAAAAACAACACAAAGAAGTTGGGAGGGAACAGTGGATCAGGGAAGAATTGGGAATTAGCCTTGACTAAAACACATTTGCATGCCTGCGGAAAAAAATCCTCAAGCAAGAAAAGATAGCATGTTTTTATTAGCAAAACAAAACAGAACAAAACAAAAAAGACCCTGCACCTTATTCTGTCAAACATCAAATTATGGCTGGTTGTGCCACATTTTCAATATGGGTTTTGCAGTATGTGCTCTCCCTATTCCCGCCCCAGATTTCTGAAGCATAGGATGAGAAGTATCTCTCACTAGAATTCAATGAAAGAAAGGAGCTACAAGCCTCAATTTTGTAAGAGTATAAGACATTCTCAAGAGTTCTGTACTGGAAAAACTGAACAATGTTATTGCCTGTGAGTAGCTGGTATATGGGCATCTCACAGGCAGGTGGTATTATCTTTGTCTGTCAATTGCTCTATCTGTGTTCCCTGTCTACTTAAGCTTCCTCTTCCCCTCATCCACACTTCCTAGATGCTCCACCTTAGGTAGACATCCAGGGCTCCTTTAGGGTATGAGCTGGTTCAGCCCTGCTCACTACTCTGATCCAAACTGGATCTGCACTCAATGTAGTAGATGGACATAGTCATATGCAAGGAAAAGTCACAGAGAAGAAGGGATGACAGGGCTCAAGAGGAGAGGCAAATGAAAAGGGGTCAAAGGAAGCGTGGGGTCCCCGCTGAACAGGTTTAAGATCTGCTTCTGCTAGTTAGTCTTTATATGTCTTTGGACAAATTTCATAGCCTTCTGTGCCTTACTCCCACACTGTGAAAAGCTTGGGGTAATAATAGACACACCTCACAGGGGTTTGTGGCAGTTAATTAAAGTTTTTGGCACATGATTAGATTTCTGTAAAAATCCTACTGCTGTTATGATCACCATTATTGTCCCAGAGTGAAGAACTGGAAACCATGGAGAAAAAATTTCTCCTGGGCTGTCGTAACAGACCATGCCATACTGGGTGACTTAAAGCAAGGGAAATACATTGTCTCACAGTTCAGGAATTCCAGGGTCCAAAATCCAAGTATTCCTGGGTTATCTTATTCACGGGGCTCTGGGAAAAAAAAACCCACCCCTGCCACTCACTGAGCATACACAATGAAGTATATCATGTTATCTGCTTTCAGCTTCTCTGAATCCTTTTTTCTTCTTTCTGTGTCCCACAAAGACAATTTTATTGCACTTCTTAGCCCCCCTAACTCAATATGATTTCATTTCAAACCGTGTTTTAATTAGGCCTGCAAAACCCTTATTACCAGTATGTTGGGATCAACTAGGAGGGGTAATGCCTCTAACCTTGGATATGAAGTTCATAGACTCAAATAAGTGTGTTGTATAAGTGAATAATTAGGCAAAACAGGCAAGCTACCTTCCAGGTCATCGGCGTGAGCTAATCAATATTCTCTTGTTTAATCTGTGACAAATGACTTTGGAGGAAAGTTGAAGGCACCCAACGGGACAAACTGCACTTGTCTGCTCCTGCTTCATCTCTCCTGATGTTGCTATTCTATTGTATTGTATTTTACCCTCTGATCGATAAAGAGTGCGTGGACTTTGGAGCCTCAGGAAACTAAATTGTAATAACAGGTTCTCCAATTCCATAGCTTCACTTACCACTTCATGGCCTCAGACAATGCACTTATCTCATCCAAGCTTCAATTCCCACAAAATGCCACCAACATGTGGAGTAAGTCTCATTATTAAAAAAAAAAAAAAAAAAATGAACACATAGAGAGATTTCACCAAAGAGCTGACATCCATTTTAGAGAATGATTGCCAGTTGCCTTGGTCTGTGCTGCTGTAACAAAAGACCAGACACCCTAATTATATTAAGAATAGAAATGTGTTTGTTTCTCACCATTCTGAAAGGGAAGGCACCATTAGGTCCATTGTCTGGAAGGGCTGGAGCTCTGATTCCAAGATGGTGCTTTATTGCTGGATTCTCCCAAGGAGACCAACTCCATACTCACTTGGAGACATAACTCGGTACTCTCCTAATGACATAACTCAGTACTCACGTGGTGACAAATACCCATTCATGAGCACAGTGGCCTCCATCACCTCCCAATGCTCTTCCTCCTACTATCACACTAACAACCAAGTCTCAACACATAAATTTGGAGGAAAATTCTGACAGCCCAGGTGTCATTATCATGCTATCATTATCCCTCTAGCAGGCATCACCGTCTTACTCCCTTTGAGAGAAAGACGGTCAGAGGGACAGTGAAGACAATCTAGAAAAACTCATTAGCATGAATCCCACCATCTCTACCTCCACTCACTTCCATTCCAGCAGAGTGCATAGACCAAGCACTCAGCCACTATCCCTGAAGTTAAACCCATAGTGACTGCATTCCCAGTATAAGCACAGTCCCAATGAATAAACTCCCAATAGCCTATCAGATTTGGCTCAAACCAGGACAGTCTGTGGCAAATCTCTCCCATTCATGACAATGAGTGACTCCGAGCAAAGACCGAATAACAACCCAAGGCCTGTAATATATGTCAACCCTCAACAAGCCTTGGGCCAAATAGCAGCCTTCATTACCCATCTCTCATGAATGCATTTTCATTTCTCTATCTACTTTTATGTTACTAACTTAAAACGTATTCATTGTAGGAAACTGTAGAAAGTAGAGCAGGCAAAAAGAATAAAATTATTCCTGACCTCACATAGTTTTTCTTTAACAATATAACATTTTCTCAGGCATTAGTCTACAACCTCAAATTTAGCAGCTTTGCAGCATTCTGTGCATAAAGTTTCCAACGCATATATACCCTGTGACTTGTTACATGCATTGACTTGGTTTTGACTATTTTGTTGCTGGAAATAAAAATACAAAGATGTGAATTTAGTTTTTATTAATGTTATATAAAGTGTCAAGAATGTGGTATTTATTGTAGCCCTGGTCCTTTTCCAAAAGTTTCAGTTAACCCAAGAAGTTCATCCGACTGGATTATATGGAGCTGATTTCCATATGCAATCTGGTCTTCTCTTAGCTTTGACTATATTATCTTAGGCAAGTGTTCTCACGACTCCACCATTGCCAGTCCAGCAAGCACTAAGTACTCAGCCATCTCCAATGTGCTGCTTAAGTAATTTGTTCAGCATCGGGGCTAATCAGGCCAGTGGCGTGGGGTTTGAGCTCTGTATAGGCAGACTGGTGAATGAACAGTCCAAAGGCGGTTTTCTCAACTCCAAACAGCTGCAATTTAAATAATGGCTATTAGTTTCCAAGGAAAAGGGCAGAAATCACGTGTGAATCAGCACAAATTTGTCACCACCGTCCTCCAAGTGGAAAACAGCTTAGGAAAATATCTGAGTCAAATAAAAACAAACAAACAAAGATTGAGGTTGTAGAAGGACAAGGCTAAGACTGGGGGACACAAACCTCTGAGAGATAGTTCAACAGTTAAGAGCACTGGCTGCTCTTCCAGAGGACCTGGGTTCGATTTCAAGCACCCACATGGCAGCTCACAACTGTCTGTAACTCCAGTTTCAAAAGACCTGACATCCTCACACTGATATACATGCATGAAAAAACACCAATGTACATAAAGTAAAAACAAATAAATCCTTAAAACAACAACGAAATTACCCAAAAATGGGGGAGGGAGTGCTGGAGAGATGGCTGAATGGGTACGAGCACTAGCTGCTCTTCCAGAGGATCCAAGAGCAATTCCCAGCACCCACATGGTGGGTGGCTCACAACTGAGTGTAAACTCCAAGATCTGACACCCACACACAGACATACAAGCAGGCAAAACAGCAATGTTGCATGAAACAAGAATAAATAAACTATTGTTTAAAAAAAAGACTGAGGGACACAATTGGCTGACCTTATACCTCAGCAGCTGCTTGTATGTTCAGTCTCTACGTGTCCCAGTTTCCTGTATCAGGCAAATAATCGGGGATGTCTTAAACAGAAAGCGGTGGCGTTAAGTGGTGTTTTCTCTTGCAGCAGACACAGCCCTTGGCACTGACGATGTGTATGATGAGAAAGGATGCCAGTGTGATGTGTCTGTGGAGGACCTCACGCCGCCACTTAAAACCGTCATTCGAGCTATCAGGTGGGTAAAAACTGTGAGCAAAATGAGTCTGGCACGTCTCTGATGATTTGAAATGCTCTGTGGCTGCAACTTTTCTTCAACAGGTAAATCTCCTGGGATAGGATAACTGTCTCTCTTTGTGGGTCCATCCACGTGCCTTTTAACTCATGAAGTGTTTTGTTGTTGTTGTTGTTGTTTTAACAAGGAACTGTACTGCATTCAACATGAAATGTTAGAGGAGGTGGGTGTTATTTGAAAAGGTAGACCACACCAGGAGATTGTGTAGGATCCAGTGTGCTGTGTTGTATTTGTTGCTTTGGGAACATTTGGTTTATTGGTGCAATTAGAGTTTTTGAAATTATTTTATGGCTTTATTCAATAACACATGTTTCATATTTTGTAGCAAAGGAAAACCGCTCTAGGCTATTTGAAATAGGGTGGAGCTCTGGGAAGCCCAGGGCACTCTGCAGTGATATATTCCCTTCTGAAAAGCAGTTGTTCATAGGGAATCCTAATCTGCTTCTTCTGTCTTCTGCACTGGCAAATAGCTAAGAAAGGACCCATGTTAACTCCAGCTCATGTTTACAAGCCCTCACATATGTATGAAAAATCCATAATGTAGTTAAACAAGTTGCTGTTTATTCTGCCTTCCCCATTTATTCTCTCTGGGGATTCTGTATCTCTTCGTATATATGGGGCGAATGGATTGGTTTTTGTTTTGTTTTGTTTTTTCTTGACATTTCCTACATCTTTCCAAGAATTCAGGAAACGGCTTAAAATATCTAAGTGTGTTCAGATATTTGCTTTAATCTAAATATTAGTGCAATTGATCATTTGCTGCTAGTTTGACATGGTCTTTTAGCACGATGTTAGTTAGATGTGACCTTGTAGTTTTACTGGAAAACATTCGGCAAGCAGAAATTAGTTACCAGTAAATGTTAGTGGGGTCAAAGAAAACCATGATATTATGAAAGTACCCGTGCTCCAGAGGACGTTAAATGATTGGTATCCACAAGCTAACCAGAAGTGTAGTGAACATTAATTGCCTTACAGAAAGGGAGGTTCCTTTTTGGCCTGGATGGCCTCAGGTTATGTCCTTTATTTCATTGTAACTATACACAGTACTACCAGACTTCTTCACTGGGTACCAATTTGAGCCACCAGCTGTATAGTTATCATATATCCATGGACAACCTAGAAGTCCTAGGTGACATTTAAGTGAGGCATGATAGCACATGTCTATAATCCCAGGTCAGCCTGGGAAACCCCACCTCACAAAGAAGAAGAAGGAAGAGGAGAAGATGGAGGAGGAGAAGAAGGAGAAGGAGGAAGAGGAGGAGGAGGAGAAGGAGGAGGAGAAACCTACATATGTATTTCAGTATTTCGGTCCAGGAAACTCAGACTATATAGGGAAATAATGTCAGAAGCCTTCAATTAAAGGATATGATAGGGCTGGAGGGATGGCTTAGACATTAAGAGCACTGGCTGCTCTTCTACAGGACCCAAGTTTGATTCCCCGTACCCAGATGGCGACTCACGGTCATTCCAGTTCCCGTGGGTCCAATGCCCTCGTCTAGCCTCCCCGGGCATCAGGGGCTGATGGAGAGGGCAGACACATATGCAGGCAAAGCATCCAAAAACACAAAATAAAAAAGTTAAATTTAAAAAAGGACCAAGAAATGTACTATCCAATATCGAAGCTGCTTGTTACAAAAGGCTATTTAAATTTGAATTAATTAAGATGGAAGATGATTTAAAACTGCATTGCTCAGTTGAACAATACACATTTCAAATGCTTAGTTGTCAAAGTCACCCATAGCTAGTGACAAACATATTGAACAAAAAAAAAAAAAAAAAACAAAGGTCAGCACTGTTCTGTCGTCATGGGAAGTTGTATTGGACAGTCCTGCTCTGTAAGTCACCTTCAGATCCTTCTCATGCATTGACTATTTCCATCACAGCCTCTAACATAAAGGTCGGAGAGCATGGTCCACAAATTCATCTGACTGGCAACAAATGACTAAAATCGTGTCTAGGAGATCAGGCTCCATAAAAGTCAACCTTAGCACAGCTTTGTGTCATTTCTGCAGAACTTCTGAAGCTTCCGCTTCTGCTTCACAGCCTATGATAAAAGGATCGTGGACTGCAAGAGAGAAAATGAGTTAGGTTTATTCTGCTGTCTTAAGCACTTCAGCAACAGTTTAAGATTTACTTTGCCCTTCGCGAAATCGGCTGACATTTGTAGTCTTTTGCCGAATTGCCTTCTTTTTCAAAACTCTTTCTCGATCTTTTTTTTTTTTTTTTTTTTTTTTTTTTTTTTTCTATCCCCTATTTGGTCCAAGATTTTAGCCCAGGCTGGTCACAAATACATACTACATAGCTAAGGCTAGTCTTAAACACCTGATCCTCCTGCTTCTATGTCCCTGAGGCTGGCATTTCAAGTGTCTGCCAGCACACCCCGCTTGGTTCTTCTTTGTATGTGGGAGTTATGCACGTGTGAGTGTCTGAGGTAGAGGGAGTCTGCTCGTCAGTGTGTATGGACAGAAGAAGCCAGAGGAAAATGTCATATGCCCTCCCTGCTCTGTGACTGCCTTGAGACAGGTGTCCCACTGGGTTCAGAGTTTCCCACTGAACCTGGATGATGCTGTTTTAGTTAGACTATCTGCTCAACAACCCCCAGCCTTTCTCCTGCCTTCATCTTCCCCCATCTCCTGCTGTAGGGTTATAGGCTTGTGTACAAACACCTGGCTTTTACAGTAGGTGCTGGAGTCTGAACTCATGCTTGGGCAGCTCGCCTCCTTAGCCCTGAGTCCTTATTTTTAGCTGAACTTGATTGAGGTGACTAGTTTTGTTGTTGTTTTGTTTTGTTTTGTAGATTTTGAGGCTTTCAGTGATGATACTTGGTACCTGGGGGATATTTTTCTCCCCTCTATTCTGATTCTGCCTGGAGTTGTTTAAATCACTCCTAAGTTCCATTTAAAATAATTAGATACTACTTTTAAAAAGAAACTTAAGAGCCACTAAACTAAAGAGTTTAATAACGGCCCAAAGTTGTTAATCCATGAAGTATGTAACTTAAAGATACATGATTCAGAAGGTGACGAAATGCTTAGCAGTTAAGGACATGTGCTACTGTTACAGAGAACACACTTCATTCCCCAGACCATCAGGAGACTCACAATGGCCTATAACTCCAGCTCCAGAGGGTCTGACTCTCTCCTCTGGAGTCCATGGGCGCTGCACTCGCACGCACAAACACACACACTAAACACAGACACACATAATAAACACACACACACAATAAACATACACACATAATCAAACACACACACACATAATAAATACACACATAATTAACACACACATAATCAACATAAACACATAATAAACACACACAAGCCTGCCTATGCACATGTATATCACTTAAAATAAAAACTAAATTATTTTTGTAAGGCACACAATTCAAAGACTACCCAATACAACTAGTTCTACAAAGAAATTTGCAGATGTGTGTCCCTAAATCTTATAGGAAGGCGCTCTTCCCCTGAGGGACCATTTGCAGAAATAAGTTCATCATCAGCTGGCTAAGAAGTCTGTCAGGGTATGCCCACCTCTTTCAACTCACCTGAAATAGGGTTTTCTGTGTTTGTTACTGACTCCAAACATGAGCCAACCATTATCCATCTCTAAATGAACAACTTTGCTTTGACGTTTGCCTTTTTGTTAGAATATTTTATGTGAATGCATAAATATGTCTTTTGTATCCCAGAAACTCTTACAATAGTGGTTTCTCTTAAAAGAAAAGTTCATATTAAAACAAGGGACAAAAAAATATGCATTCCACCACAAGGGTGACAATATGTAAAAATATTACTACATTCACAAATAGTAAGGTACCAATTCTTTATATTCAGTTATTAGTGTTTATTAAATGTCTCCCAACATCTCAGGAAATAAGATGACTAGTACTCATACAGTAAGGATTGTATTACTTTTTTTTTTCATTTTACAACCCCAGTTCCCCCTCCCTCTCCTTCTAGAATCCCCCTCTCACCCCCCTCCTATCTACTCCTCAAAGAGGGTAAGACCCCCCTTGGGGAATAAACAAAGCCTGGCATACCGAATTGAGGCAGGACCAAGCTCCTCCCTCCTATTACTTATTAATGAAGGAAGTTACCTGTTTTTATGGACTTTATTTGTTGGTTGACTTTGTTGCTACTGCTATATTGAAATGCTGGAGATCAAACCTGGCTTCTTACACACACTAGGTAAATGCTCTACCTCTCAGCCACATCTCCAGCCCTTCAATGTCACTATTCACAGTCGGTTAGTAATGACTATTCTTAGATAATTGCTAAAATGTGTCCTTTACTCAAAAAAAAGACTTGGTTTTGTGTATTCCCTCCAAGATTATCACAGACCTTTTTCTAAATATTTCACAGAGAGGTAATTAATTACAAGTTGATTAATAAACTACACAGCATTCTGCCCACTTGCCTTTGACTATTTCATGGTAAGACACCTGTTTGAAAAAACCACCCATATACTACGCCTAACAGCCAAGTTATGAGATCAGCGTAGATGCCCAACAACAAATGGATGCATCAGGAAACTGTGGAATGCAGACACAATAGAGCACTACTCAGTCATAAATGAAGAGTGAAATGTCATTTACAGGAAGACAAAATTAGATGGAACTGGATTATATGTCAAGTGAAATAAGCCAGGCCCTTAGAAAGACTGATCTGGCATGCTTCCTGTCATAGGCAGAATCTACATTTTCAAAAAAAAAAAACTTCATGAAGTTTATAGGACTATTTAGAGAAGGACCAACAATAGGAGAGGGTCTGGGAGATGTTGATAGAAAAGTGAATGCTATTGGAGCAAGTTTATACATGTATAGAAATATCATTGTGAAATACGTTATTTTGTATAATGGATTTGTAAATGACAAAAAAAGAAAGAAAAGAAATTGCCATTACCTTGACATGATCTTCCATAATGAAGAGCATCTGATTATT